TCTGTGTGCATTGAATTTATTTAATACACAAGTTTCACAATTTGAGTTGAATTACTGAAATAAATGAACTTTTTCACGACATTCTAATTTATTGAGATGCACCTGTACAATTAGTGTGCCTCCTCTATTTTAAAACCCACGAGCCACCACTGCAAGCAACACTTTAAACATTATACTTGCTAACGTGTAACTAGTGTGATTAAATCACAATCAATTAAATGTACAACTGATTAAATCGAAGCATGTTCATTATTATTTGTTTATTTATATACACCATTATAGTTTTTCATATTTTTAATTACCTTTGTATACCTTTTATTATTGATTTTTAGATTAATTTGTATATTTTCAGTTTTCTTAAATTTGTATTAATATGGTGATTTTGTCTTTATTTAGTTAGTTAGTTTTATAGTTCACTTTTAGTTCTGGTTTATTTCCAGTTAGTAATTCAGATTTATTTCAAATATCAAAAATGTTTTTATTAGTTTTAGTTACCAAAAATAAGTTTGTCCTACTATAACAGAATATCTCACTAATAAAAATACAATTTTATATTACTTTACAGTTCAAATAATACACACGTTTGTATGAAAAAATGAATAAAAACAACGAACTACACATTTAAGTACATTTTTTTAAATGCAGTTTCTGTATGCAACAGAGGCTGTCTATAGAGCTTGTTTAGTTGTCCAAGAAAAGAAAAATGTTTTAGATATACATGGTTGTGGAACAACAGATAGTTTCACTCTCTCACTGATGTCTCCACAAACACACTCATATTCCAGGAGGACTTGACCTCCTGACAGATGAACCTATTTCTCTTTCATTCTCTCTTATTCTCTCATCCTTTTCCTCTTCCCTTCCTCTCTTTTCTCTGATAGCGTCCGAGACACAGGACGTCTCCACACTAAAGTGCTGAAAGACTTGGACACCTCAATGAAACAACTGCTGTTGGACCACACACACACACACACACACACACCTACCTCAGTCTTTGTATTTATCAGTTGAACCAGCTTTTGGTGCTTTTGGCAGTGTGGGCAGATGCCAAATCCTGCTGGAAAATGAAATCAGCATCTCCATAAAGCTTGTCAGCAGAAAGAAGCATGAAGTGCTCTAAAATTTCCTGGTAGATGGCTGCGTTGACTGTGGACTTCAACTAAATTAAAAGAACCAAAGACTTAAACTACTTCAGTCTGTGTGCATAGAATTTATTTAATACACGAGTTTCACAATTTGAGTTGAATTACTGAAATAAATGAACTTTTTCACGACATTCTAATTTATTGAGATGCACCTGTACAATTAGTGTGCCTCCTCTATTTTAAAACCCACGAGCCGCCACTGCAAGCAACACTTTAAACATTATACTTGCTAACGTGTAACTAGTGTGATTAAATCACAATCAATTAAATGTACAACTGATTAAATCGAAGCATGTTCATTATTATTTGTTTATTTATATACTATTATAGTTTTTCATATTTTTAATTACCTTTGTATACCTTTTATTATTGATTTTTAGATTAATTTGTATATTTTCAGTTTTCTTTAATTTTTATTAATATGGTGATTTTGTCTTTATTTAGTTAGTTAGTTTTATAGTTCACTTTTAGTTCTGGTTTATTTCCAGTTAGTAATTCAGATTTATTTCAAATAGCAAAAATGTTTTTATTAGTTTTAGTTACCAATAATACGTTTGTCCTACTATAACAGAATATCTCACTAATAAAAATATAATTTTATATTACTTTACAGTTCAAATAATACACACGTTTGTATGAAAAAATGAATAAAAACAACGAACTACACATTTAAGTACATTTTTTTAAATGCAGTTTCTGTATGCAACAGAGGCTGTCTATAGAGCTTGTTTAGTTGTCCAAGAAAATAAAAATGTTTTAGATATACATGGTTGTGGAACAACAGATAGTTTCACTCTCTCACTGATGTCTCCACAAACACACTCATATTCCAGGAGGACTTGACCTCCTGACAGATGAACCTATTTCTCTTTCATTCTCTCTTATTCTCTCATCCTTTTCCTCTTCCCTTCCTCTCTTTTCTCTGATAGCGTCCGAGACACAGGACGTCTCCACACTAAAGTGCTGAAAGACTTGGACACCTCAATGAAACAACTGCTGTTGGACCACACACACACACACACACACACACACACCTACCTCAGTCTTTGTATTTATCAGTGAACATGAACACGGCCATCACTGTCAAGTCTTATTGAAAAATATTTCCGGATTTTCATTGTCGAACAAGTTAAAATAAATATAATTGGCATTAAAACAGGGTGTTGTTTGCAGTTCAAGACAAAACTAGCAGCACAACACGTGGCAGCTTGTATGCACACACACACACACACACACACACACACACACACACACTAAAGGCAGCTTTCAGATGCACTCACTCAATATCTCACTGTTAATCTAAAAGTGATGCGAATCCTTCATTTCCCCAGTTCTGTTTTGCATGCTGAACCTGAAGTAATAAGAATCTGCCATTGTAAAAAAAATGTATGGGTTTGTTAGGGTTAAACCTTTTAAAATATGCACCTTTGCAGATGTTTCCTAAACTATCTATTTGTAGCTGTGTTCCCTACTTTGGTTAAAACAAAAAATATGCTGTGACTTTGAAAAACAAAACGTGACTGCTTCTAGTGGTCAGTGGAGAAACTGCAGTATGACGGACAACATGAACTAGGTGCTATTAAGAAATTAACGTGGCAATACATAAAGCATTTATTTGATTAACAAACAGACCTAGAGGAGCTTATGACTTATGACTAATTGGTGTATGTACTGCTAAATTATGTCATAATCTGTATATATACACACACAACGTTCCTGTACATTTTGTTTAGTGAATTTCAATGAGCGTTTCCCTTCCATTTGTTCATAAGTACAGGATGATAATTAAAGCAGACGTTTTGGTACATCACACAGGTAAAGATCTAGAAGTTGGATTTAATAGATTGCACTTGTTTACAAAAACATATTTAGTGTTTTATTAGTTTTCACCAGAGACTCTCAACACAGACTGGTGTTTCACGCTGACTTTACAGCACTCATAAAGAGCAATACCTGGCCCATTAAATAGCTTAAAGCATAGAAACCAAGAAAAATACATTTTCTTTAAAGAACTTTCCACCTGCCCCTAACATTTTTTTTTCCACATTTATGACTTTTCCAGGCCTTTCAAAATTCCCTGATATTCTGAGGTTTTCCATGACCTGTTCGAGGGTCAAAGAAAATAAACTTTGTTTTACTGGTTTGTTTTAACCTTTTTACTGGTTTAGATCCAGATCCTAACACATTCAACGCCGCTGTTGGTCACACATCTGCATACATATCCCTAATCAACAGATTTCCTCTATCACACAAAACAAACTAGCAAACCAAATCATCCCATTGTTTGCACAAGTACAGTACAAACAGCCTTCTGTCATCTAGTCAGATTCACTCTCCTGTCATGCTTTGCAAAGATAAAGCTGGAGTGTTTTGGTCAAATGATATGCTAATTAGTGCATGCTGTAATTTAAATTAGAGAAGGCTGAAAAACGTTAGAATGACAGACTAAAACCAACATGAACATACATCACTCTAAAATGGATTGCACAAAATGTTTTTAAAAATACAATCCCAAGGCATTCAAACTTAAGAAATGTATTTTGAAACCACTTTTAAAAATACTGTTACTTAAAAACAACTTAAGATTAGAGTTACAGAATTTCATGAGATTTAAAAGTTAAAAGCATAGTTCACCCAAAAATGTAGGGAAAAAATAATTTACTCTTCATGTCATTCCAAACCTGTGCAAATTATTTGGAACATTACATTTTATTGTAAATCTTCCCTTACATGATAGTTCCGAAATGAACCAATGGTGTTAACATGCAATTTCCGAACTTTCAGTAGTACATTTTAGAATTTCAGAGAAGATAACCGTTAACTTCACTAAAGACAAAATGCAATAATATTGAACTTGAGAAAAATGGCTTCAATGTTTTTTTATTGCATTTTGAGCGATGTATATAGTGAAATAAACCGCTTTTATGATACTTTATCGGTCATTTTGGAGCTTGCTTGACAGGCCAAATCCCATTTCACTTTAAATTATATGGAAAAGAGCGTACAGAATATTCTTCAAAAATATGCCTTTTGCATTCCATTGAAAAAAAAAAGAAAAAAGAATGTGGGTTTGGAATGACATATGGGTGAATAAATGATGAAAGAACTTTAATTCTGTGTGAACTATAGAAATGTAAACATTAACAAGCTGAAACACCTATGCATACACAAAACCCCGCTAACATGCACTTTTTTTCCTGCTCCATTTCATTACAGGGAAAACAGGCTGAAGGGAGCACACTACAGAAACCTTTGACTTTGACTCCTGCCCCTGTAGAGGGAGAGCGAGGCCATCAGGGATATACCTGTGCTACTGTGTCCACGCTATGCGTAATAAGAGATGTCTCTACAAAGGCAGGTTCATATCAAATTACAGATCAGATGCACTCAGATCCACTTTTAAATGACATTATTAGTACATTCTTAGTCTTCCTGTACTCATATTAGGCTTTGTTTTTTTTTCTGAACAAATAATGCTGCATGCAAAATTCTCTATTCTTCATTCTGCATCATTGTCACTTGTACTGTAGTATTTTACATCTGTAAATCACTTTGGAAAAAAGCCTCTACTAAATGAATAAATGTAAAAGTCATTGTTCATGCTGTAAGTCTGTTTGTAGTTTTGTGTTTAGTGCTGCTTTGAAAGAGCATTAGCATTAATCCGAAGTTTAGGATTAAACAGTTTTAAACCGAGGATTAGACTGCCGTTTTGATGCTGATCCCATGTGGGTTTGTATTGGACAATCAAGGATGGTCAAAAGTGGATGATGTAATCAACTGCCGCCTTCTGGGTTTCAGCTTCAGAGAGCCATAGCGAGGCTTTAAAAACAATACAACATCAATTCACAGTTAATTTTCAGGAAGTACTACAGTGGGGTCTGAAAGTCTGAGACCACCAGGGAAAGTGTTTGTATTTTATATTCTGCTTTACATTATGATACAATTGAACATAAAATGTTTGCATGTGCAAATGTACCTCTTTGCGTGCTGCTTTGGCACGGGCGAGTTTCACACTCTGAGATCTGCGCAGACCCTTCTGCACTGACGCCTCGTCATCGGAGAATACTCCATCTGTTTCCTCCTCATGCCCCTCCCCTGCTTGTTTATATGGCTCTGTTGGAGCAGATGCACAGAGGAAGCAATAAAGATCTCAAACAAGAGGAACTGAACCTTGAAGGATTAGTTTACCCCCCCAAAAAAAATCTGTCATCATTTACTCACCCTCATGTCGCTCCAAACCCATATTGTGAATTTGTGGAACAGACCAAAAAATATATTTTCCATACAATCACAAATGGATTCTGAAGCTTTCAAGCCTCATAAAGGATGCACAAGCGCAATGAAAATTATTGGAATATAGTGGAAAAAGTTGCATGGAGCTTATTCATCATCGGTCTCTTTTCATTGTAAGTTCAGGTTTCTTTTGTCCTTGAAAGAAAGTCATATTTTCATTTTTGTTTTTTTACTAATGGTTTTCATTTTGTTTTTTGGTTACATGTATTGAGTGACCAGCTGAACTTTCCACCAGGATTGCTTTTCAATACTTTCCATACTACCACTAGAGGGAGACATAATACTTATTTTCTGATGACAATGTGCTCCGCTAGGGTTCATTTGCCCTAGCAATAAAAAGGACATTTTGAATCTTGTTACAGTTCATTTGTTTCTTTAGTTTAATTTAGATAAATCAGTGTGTTATAATTTTTCATAATTACATAATCATTTATCATTATGTAATCAGCTATGATGTCATTAAATGAAAAGTTCACCCAAAAATATTTACACCCTAAAAATAAAATTTGCTCAAATTTACTCACCCCAGGCCATCCAAGATTTTTTTTCATCTGAACATATTTGGAGAAATTTAGCATTACATCACTTGCTTCACATCACTGCAGAATGGGTGCCATCAGAATGAGAGCAGTTGATAAAATATTAAAATAATCCACATGTTACGCAAGTAACCCATAAACTGTCTGTTAATCCATCATTAAGACATTTTTAACTTTGTTGCATCTGAGCCCTCTATCCATAATAATAATAATCCATAATAATGCTTTCTCCAGTGAAAAAGTCATCATGTCTTAATCAGGAGAGACATATGCATAGATCATGCAATGTTTACAAGCAAAAACAAATATACTGGTGGATATAAATGTGAGAGGACAACAGAGGATGGACTTTCTTACTGGAGGAAGCATTAATATGGACTTTGGATGCGTATTTTGGGCAGTTTAAAGTTAAAAGGTCTTTATGATAGATTAGTTTCTTACAAACACACAGCTTTTCAATTCACAAGATGTAAATTGATGGACTGGACTGTGTGGATTACTTGATTATTATAATGTTTTTATAAGCTGTTTGGACTCATTCCCTGCAGAGAATCCACTGGAGAGCAAGTGATGTAATGCTACTGTAGAAACAAACTCATCTAGATCTTGAAAGTAAATTTCCAGAATTTGTATTTTTGGGTGAGCTATTCCTTCAGTGCATGTACAGTACTCACCAGAATCAGCAGCGCTAGGGTTAGCAGGCTGGAGGGCCCGTCGGCTGGGGTTTGAGAACACTGATTGTTCAGAGGGTAACTGCGTCAAGTCTGGAATACTGAAACTCCTCAGACGTTCACTGATAGCACCCTGTCCCTGTGACATGAGTCATGTGGTCAGCTAACATGGTGCACTGAGTAAACGGAATTCAAGAACCAAAAACCTTTGAAGCTGTGGCTACCTTTATAATACACAAAGACATCTTTTATTTAACTTCCCAGTTAATGATGTGCTGGCGACAGGTTAAAGCAGATTGAAAAAGAAAGCAAGTTACCTGGGCTAGGTGCAGCAGCTACTGCTGGTGATTAGTTTAGCATGAAGACAGAAAGAGAAAGGAAACAGGAAGATTTGAACTAGATTTTTACATTTTCTAAAGAAACCGTAAGTGGTTCATGTCTATATTCTTGTTTCTAGATAAGAATCAAGATAAGAACAGTAGACCTTAGCAAAAACTGAAGAGGCTTATCAAAAACAGAAGAGCACTAGTGATTTAGATCTTTTTTAGGAACCAGACATGGCCAGACAGCAAATTTGATTTGAAAAAAGCAGTCAAGAGAACAGGAGAGGCCAAAGTGAAGAGCACATGTCATTTTTGCAGCGCATTTTCGTGTCTGTGTCAGCATGTCCTTAACATGCTGTATATTTTTAAGGTTTTCTTTGTGTGTGTGTGTGTGTATTAGCAGAATGATACAAGTTTCCAAAAAATGATTTCTGAAGGATCATATATCTAGTGACACTGAAGCCTAGAGTAATGGCTGCTCTTACGGTTATTACTGTATTTTTTATCAAGCCTTTGTGAGCCTTTAACTAACAAAAGTTAAGATTATACCTGGTATATCCTTTCATATAAATCCTTTTTATTTTAAGTTTATAACAGCATAACAGAAATGAGAGTAAACAATGAATCACAAAAAGAAGTAATGTATCAATGCAAAACAATGTTTCTGCTTACGTGGAAAGAAAGCTGACCAAATCATCTTAGTTAGCTAGGTTAGCTCAAATGACTAGTATAAACAGTGCATTAGTGTACAAATGAGCCCATGTGTCCGTGTCCATACCTTCACAGCAGCGGAGACAGCAGCAGCAGCCGCGATCGTGAGACCCTGACGTCCGAAATTCACCATGGTCTCGTAACTCCTCTCTCTGGCCTGAACGATATAATCATCAATCTCCTGAAAAACAGAATGTGAAACAGTCAATAAATCTACCATTGAAATTCACCTTTAACCTCCAACTAGGAGTTGTTTGAAAACAAATAATTACAGAGGGCCGGGAACAAAATATACAGGTGCAGTTAAACAAACAATGCAGTTTATTGTTAGTTCATAATGATCATGTAATCGACACATCCAACTAACCCAATCCGTCTGTTTACCTCTTAACGTCATTTATGTAATCATTGATTATGTAATCCTCTCGATTCCATAATACATTTCAGTATGGCTATGTGTTCACTGTAAGTGAACGCCTATTCCCAGGGAAACTGATGATGTGTTTAGGTCATTACCCTCTCCTTGGATGCCAGCATAGGGTGTAGGAACTTCCTGTAGAGGACACTGGCTCCTCTGGTGTAGGGAGACAGCAACCAAAAGACGAAAGCCATTTTCAGTTCGTAGTAAACTGGAAACCTGAAACAATCACATCAATGTGAAAACAGAGGGATGACGGAAGACTAAAATAAATTGTATTTATGCATTCTCTATGATTATAGTCTCTTGGACCTCAGGCTTGGTGGATCGATATTCAAAGTCAAATTCAACGTCAATAATTTACCAAACAATTTGAATACATTTTTTATATATTTATTTTATTTTTTATATATATTGTTATTTATTTCATTATTATTTATATTTAATTAATTATATTTAACTAGGAGAGTAATTTTTCTTTAAAAAAAAATCTCATCTGGATTTGATTTATAAGATTTTTTCCCCCCATTACAGAATAAAGGAGTTAATTAACATCATCATTTTTAAAAATTGCAATGCCACTTTTTTCAGTACTAGTACACTGCATAGAACTATCCATGCAAATAAAATTGATCTAATTTAGGAAAATCAGAGCCAGTAAAACAAGCAGAGCTGATCTTTTTTTTTTTTTTTAAATGTCACAAAACTACGCAGTGGAATTGAACCGAACTGAAACTGAACCTAACGGACTGGTTCCTCTAACTGGCCTGAGGAAAACAAATGGAGCTCAACATCTGCAGCAACAGATAAAAGCCCTTTTCATTTACCACAAAGGCTAGACAGTGAAAAGTCATACAATGGAGAAGAATAGCAAAATGTTAATAAAACCACTTGATGCAAAATTACTCCATGCAATCCATTAACAATTATTAATTTGCCTCTTTCCAGACTGTGTGTGTATATTTACCAAGCCAAAGAAAGGTCTGTGATGGTCTCCACCACTGTGTAAAGAGCAAACACAATCCAGTACATCATCCATCGCACCTGTCAAACCACAAACGCAAACACAAAATGCCTGTTAGAGGTATAGAAGTGCTACTTACAAAAACTTACCATGCACGTACTATAATATATGAATTTTATTCATTCACTATATGATATACATCAAAGTACAATGGTATCACATCACTGTACCACGGTACAGTCACAGTATTTTTTGTAAGGAAAGAAAAGGAAGTACACAAACCACAAAAAGGGCACACATGGTGGAAGAACAGTATTAAATTGCTCAACAGCTCAGGGTTTAGTTACTGACAGCCTCCGTCAGATACAAAGAGTAACCAGGATATACAGACAGTTTAGTAGGAGCTCTCCATCTATTCTGGCTATTAACACTCTCTAAACTCAAATAGATGTGAAGAATCAGTAGAACATGGATAAAGATATGCACGTGCATTTATGAATTGAGTACTCACATATTCTTTGACATTCTTGGATTTGACGGCTTTAAAGGAGTAGTATGCAGGATACAGCGTTCCAAACAAAAGACTGTGATAAAACACACACATACATACAGTACACATAAGACATGATTTATATTAAAAAATATCATGCACCTGTTAGAAGCAAGAAAACAAATAAAGGTTGGCGAACAGTTCAATGCCCAACCAATCAAAATTTAGATACACTGATATAAAAACTTAAGATATACAAATATATCTATATAGGTTATCGGACAATATTATAGATTTTTTTTTTTTTTTTTTTTTTCTTTTGGTTGCATTTGGATTATCTTTGCCTTCATCTAACACTTAGTCTTTAAAAAGACTAATAATTTAATTTAATATAAACACACTAAATAACTCAGTAACACTGTTAAATGCAATTTTTAGCAAATCTTGACGTTAATATCCTTTTTTCCTACTGTACATGACTAAATTCACTTTTAGCATTTAAATTGACTGATCTTAGTTTTAAGCATTTTATTTGAAATGCATTTAGACAAAATGTTGTATTATTCTGTCATTTATCAATTATCGGCCATTACATGAAAATTATTAGCCATGTTTTATATGACAATAAAACAATTATCAGCTTATCTAATCCACCATAATTTGAATATTCGGTGGATCCCTATGCACAATCTTATATTTGATGATAATCCATCCAGATGGCAAATCCAGCCTTTGCCTTTGGTTACAGGCCTACTCAAATGTTAAACTGGAACACTGATCACTCAAAATGCTCTATTTATTGTGACGAGTGACACTGAAATCCCGTTGTTTTTTTTCCAAAGAGGTGTTCAATTCAGTACATACACACAGTAAATTCACCGCTTTCACTGTAACTGGCTTGCGTTTCCCTGATCCATTTATTTTCGAGTCGCTATGGGAACGACATCACTGCCTGATACCGTCTAAAGTTATGTGTGATCATGGGTGTGTGTGTGTGTGTGTGGTGAGGAACTGTTGGATGGATTTCATTTATTGTGTAACGTTTCTCCACTCTAAAACATCTCTACCATAAAGCAAAATAAGTGCTGAAGTCAAGAGCAGAGGTCATCTCTTAACTTAAAACAGTAAAACTGTTTGTAATTAAACAACTGCAGCATCACCAAGTCACTATTTCCAAACACAGCCTGTCCGGATGGATTCCATTTATTGTGTAACGTTTCTCCACTCTAAAACATCTCTACCATAAAGCAAAATAAGTGCTGAAGTCAAGAGCAGAGGTCATCTCATACATGTCATACAAAACTGTTTGTAATTAAACAACTGCAGCATCACCAAGTCACTATTTCCAAACACAGCCTGTCTTGCTTTTACTACTAGTCTGAAGAAAGTGTTTAAACATCGAATGCTGAGAGAACACATTAGAGTCACAATGGTTTAGTCATGCATTTCCTATTACGCTGTTCTCTGGGAGAACTCGTGAGGGTAAAAAAAGAAGGGAAAGAATTAGGGAATGAGTGTGTGTTTGTGTGTGTGTGAGATGTTACTGCACATCTCTAAAACAGCTAGGCCTTGTTTGCCGATGGTGAATAATTCATAATTTTAACTTACAGTAAGAACACAAAGAGTTTCAAAAGACTTTGAAACTGACTATAACCTACTATATATATAAATGTATTTCTATCAGTGACAACCAGAGACCCTTATCTCTTATATTGTCAGTACACTAAAGATAACCAAAGCCACAGCAAACAGCACCTAGTGAGATGAGGCACAGAATGTGCTTTGCTGTGCTGACCTTTTCCGCAAAGAAAGGGATACACCTACTGTAACATTACGGTCTAGCAGTAAAACAGCAGTTCCTCCCAGGCAGACAGGGACTTTGAATAAAGCAGGTCTCCAGCCAAAAACATGATGAATTTCCTGCTCTACTCCACTACGTCAGCAAAATTGATGTCGGTTTTTATTTTTCTTCTGCATAATTTGTGAATTTTTATTATGGTTGATTCAGAGGTTCCTAAACTTTCTTACCAGTGAATTTCCAAGATTTTTCCATTACTTTTCCTATGATTTGTGATGGCTGAATAAGGTTTTTGTGCACTCACAAAAACAGTAGTTTCCAGCCTACTAAATACTTCAGTTCTGAGCATAACTATACATTTCTATTGACTGTAAACATTTACATGACCTTTTAAAATTGTATTCATTTCTATTACTTTTCTGGGCCTGGAAATTAAGCTTTTAAATGGTACATTCCAGATTTTCCAGGCCTGTGGGAACCTTGTTGAAAGTGAAAATATATAAAATAAGAATACTGCAGAAATGTAGTAACTGTAACAGTGTTATTATTATATTGGGGGACAAAACATCATACTTTATGCATCCCCCCCCCCTGACCAACAACAAATAAACTACAATTTGTTTTATGTACTTATAACATTGTTTTGTATTGTAACATTGTAGATATAGAGACAGTGTGCAGGATAGATGTTGTCCGTATGAACTAAATGCGCAGTCAGCAGTTTTACTAATGTAACGTTACTTTAAGCTCAGAAACGCTAAATAGTTTTCAGTAAATACTCACACGATGACCCTAGATATAATCCAAGACACCATCTTCCAACCTGTTGCACTTTTAAGTTATGAGGTTCGATGCAGGTCCAGTCCAGAGGCATAAACTATTCAAATAAACTATAGCTAATAATAACTTCTGTCTCGTTTCTCCAACCGCTAAAACTCAACCACTGAGTTCCTTTTTTTAACGCATGCTTCCTGATATCCACAAGTTTGCAAAATGACATTGTTATTTGACGAATAACCACTGGTTTCAGCTGTTGTCTTCTCTCTACATGATGTTCCGTTGTGTTAAAAATGTATGTATTGTTTTCCTCTTCGCCTGTCCCTTTCGGACTAGGGACGATGTCAGTCACCTTTGATTGATGGCACGACTGGCCACTGATTGGACAAAGACTATGGTTTGTCCCGCCTTCTGCGTTTACTGATTGGACTACTGACTCAGCCCCAAACAGGGTCACAGGGCGGAGCTGCTCATCGGTTGCATTGTATGCTGTTTGCGTACAGGAATGATTGAGTTTGAAACAGGTAATTTTGAAACTTTTTTATTTGAAGATGTAAAATGCTCTTCAATGGATGGGTGCACAGGTACATTTATTTATTTATATATATATATATTTTCAAATTAACGTATTGTCGTGTCTGATTTGCCATCTTTTGGCATCTTTTAGAAGTAGGCTACACTAACATATGACCTCAAAGCTAAGAGGTAGACTAAAAGCATCAAAACTTCAGGTAATCTCAGTGGAAATGCCCTGTAGGTAATTTCCAGTTAAAAGATCCCCCTGACAGACATCCATAGGGGGATTTTGATTTTTTTTGTTCTGGGGAGAAATCAAATATATTTTATTGTTGCAATAATGTAGATTAGTTATATTATAGATGGTAACTGTAAATGCAACATTGTCTCGTCCTAAGAATGAATACAAAAAAATAAAGATGCTGCAACGGAAAGTTTATGCATTGCTAAACAATGAAGAACAGCTGCAGATGTTCTGCCACATCTGTTTTAGATTCTCTTAATTTGCCCTAAAGTCAGTTTTGCAGTGTGCATTAGATTGTTAATTCACACTTGGAAGGGGGAGCAGTGTAGTTAATGGTGACTTTTAACCTTTACGTTAGATGTCCTATCTGTTATCCTTTTACCAACACCGAGAATAGAAATGAAAATTATTGATTATAGTACACTGGCTCCAAAGAGCACCCTTAAGGAAATCGGTCTCAAAGAATGATTAAAATATTGGCAAAGGTTAATTTTAACACCCACTGCAATATTGTGTTGTGGGTTTTACAGATGTTTAAGAACTGTAGTGGCTTTGTTGCCAAGTAGTGTTAAGAGAAAATTATATGCAAGGGGCCTCTGAAGGGCTTTACTCTCATTGGACAATGTTAAAGAAAAACTGTGTGAGGCGCTAAACAGTTCATCTCAAGTGGTCCAGTAAAGTTGGTTGACCATTTATATTTTGATTAACTCTATGCATTGTTATCAGAGGCGGAAAAAGTACTCAACTCCATTACTTGAGTGAAAGTACAGATACTGCTGGTCAAACATTACTCCATTACAAGTAAAAGTTGTAAAGACAGATTTTTACTTAAGTAAAAGCACAGAAGGACTTAAGTACCAAAAGTAAATGTCCTTTTTTATGTCAATGCACTGTTTTATTGTTGTACGTAGTAGTACTTACAATACTTCTGAAGCAACTTAGAATACATTACACCTGCTGAATACACTGACTAGCTTGTAGTATATTTGGAATAAAGAGCTTTTAGAATGTTATATATGGGGGGAAAAAACAAAACAAAACAAAATTATATAGCAGTGATCTCACACAGCTCTGACAGTGTGTGCACACATCTATGTGTCAACAGATTACCACTGTTTAATATAATAATAGCTTTCCTGTAGCTCAAACAGTAGAGCATGGAGCTAACAATGCCAAGGTAATGGTTTCAGGAAAACAAGAAGACTGATCAAATGTGATTGAATACAATGTATACAATTTGGGACAACCGAAGTGTCTGCAAAATGTAAATACTTAGGGTTAATATTTTTTATATTAATAAAATAGTAGTTCAATCGTTTAATATTTTAAATAATACAAATTAGACTATATGGGGTAAGTTGTCATGATGGGAATCTGCTATTAAATAGCATGTTACATTTCATATTTTGCCTTTTTGACAATTTTGCCTTGTGACTTTGAGTCCCTATGTAGGGCATTTTCTTGAGAAGCAACAGGAATGGAAAAACTTGTGTTTTGAAAAAGGAGAGATAAAAACTTTACTCTCCATCTTTCTGATGATTGGTAATTTGCTCATCACTGCTTGAGTCCAAGTCATTTGTATTGCTGATTGGGAACTGAAGTCTGTCATTGTGGCTGAGAGCCACTAATGTTACCACTCATCCTATGGAGACTCAAAAAAGAAGCATGAATTTTTCACGAAGCCATTATCACATATTTAAAGACTTGTGTGGCAAATTACAGTTTCAATCATGGTCAGTCGTTGTATCATTAATTACAGTAGTAGCCTGCTTAAATGAGCTCTGATGACGAATCAGGTATCTGAGTGCTTCTCTGTGATGACTAGTATTTCCTGTACCAGCTTGCCCTCCCGTCTCTCCTGAGCATGTTCAATTTCAATCTGTCCCCTCAGGTGCGGCTGAAATATGTTGTCAGAACATGGCAGTCAGATATAGTTTGGAGACAGTGAATCATTCATCTATCAGAGGCTGCAGCATCTTCCTGCAGGACTCTATTTTTTCTTCCTTCTTTCAATTCATTTCCTTCACCCTTCAGTTGATTTTCACATTTCCTCCATGCTGCTTCAGTCCTATTAGGTGTGCTGTGCCGTGGAGATGCATGAACCAGCAGTGCTCTGCAGTCAGAGATACTGTGGCTCTTCTCTTCACATCACAAGACATTAACTCACCCAATTCAGAACTAATAACTACTGACCAGCTCCTTATCACAGGCTTTTCTAACAGATCTCAAAGAGCTGAATAGATTTATGAAGGACCTTAGGCAGAATGGTCCCACTTTTCCCGAAAGCATCGCAACCGTAAGTGGATTGTAAAAAAGGCCGTGCAAATCATCATAGAATTACGGACTGTTTCCCAGGCTTCTCCCTATCAGGTGCATATATCCACTGGAGTAGCTGTTTTGCAGAGTTTTTGAACCATGGCGAAGAACAACAGCCTCCATCCAAACAGCAATGGAGAGACGGACGACTCACCAAACATGCTGGTTTACAGAAAGGTAGGACTTTGAATAATTATTAAGATGGTTACTTTGTGAAAGGTATTGCCTTTTTGACAGAACAAGTAGTGTAAGCTTTGTTTTGAGTGCAGTTTTGGCAGGGAAAAAACGGTGTGTAAGACATGAAAGTGGTGTGGGTGATAAAGGGGCTGTTTGTCACACTTTTTAGTTTATTTTGGAAAGTCAATTTTTTGTATGGACACAAATCTTGAGAGCTTTTTGTAAAAGGAAAAAGAAAAAAGAAAGAGTTTGCTACCACACATTGACCTTTTGTGACTATATGGGGTAAGTTGTCATGATGGGAATCTGCTATTAAATAGCATGTTACATTTCATATTTTGCCTTTTTGACAATTTTGCCTTGTGACTTTGAGTCCCTATGTAGGGCATTTTCTTGAGAAGCAACAGGAATGGAAAAACTTGTGTTTTGAAAAAGGAGAGATAAAAACTTTACTCTCCATCTTTCTGATGATTGGTAATTTGCTCATCACTGCTTGAGTCCAAGTCATTTGTATTGCTGATTGGGAACTGAAGTCTGTCATTGTGGCTGAGAGCCACTAATGTTACCACTCATCCTATGGAGACTCAAAAAAGAAGCATGAATTTTTCACGAAGCCATTATCACATATTTAAAGACTTGTGTGGCAAATTACAGTTTCAATCATGGTCAGTCGTTGTATCATTAATTACAGTAGTAGCCTGCTTAAATGAGCTCTGATGACGAATCAGGTATCTGAGTGCTTCTCTGTGATGACTAGTATTTCCTGTACCAGCTTGCCCTCCCGTCTCTCCTGAGCATGTTCAATTTCAATCTGTCCCCTCAGGTGCGGCTGAAATATGTTGTCAGAACATGGCAGTCAGATATAGTTTGGAGACAGTGAATCATTCATCTATCAGAGGCTGCAGCATCTTCCTGCAGGACTCTATTTTTTCTTCCTTCTTTCAATTCATTTCCTTCACCCTTCAGTTGATTTTCACATTTCCTCCATGCTGCTTCAGTCCTATTAGGTGTGCTGTGCCGTGGAGATGCATGAACCAGCAGTGCTCTGCAGTCAGAGATACTGTGGCTCTTCTCTTCTCTTCACATCACAAGACATTAACTCACCCAATTCAGAACTAATAACTACTGACCAGCTCCTTATCACAGGCTTTTCTAACAGATCTCAAAGAGCTGAATAGATTTATGAAGGACCTTAGGCAGAATGGTCCCACTTTTCCCGAAAGCATCGCAACCGTAAGTGGATTGTAAAAAAGGCCGTGCAAATCATCATAGAATTACGGACTGTTTCCCAGAAGCATTGTAAATGAAGTAGTTCTTGAAAATCTTAGATTTACAAGTCATTGGGAGTAACTGTAAAAAGGCAGGCTTACACAGTTACTTTTCTGATGTATTTACACTTGATTCAGTATACAATGACTTCTAATTATTTTATTTGTTTTAGAATTAAAGTGTGTGTGTGTGTGTGTGTGTGTGTATATATATATATTAGGGCTGGTAATTTAATGCATTAATTAGATTAATTAATTACAGTGAAAAATAACGCGTTAAAATTATGAACGCATTTAACGCACTTGCCCCACCCTAGACCTATGTGGGTCATCTGACATTTCATATAGCTGATTGATGACAAATATGAGGCAGGGCAACAACTCACTGTGTGATGAGCCTAAAGAATGTAGTTAGAATGTCCCTAAAATTCAAGATATGGGGCAAAAATGCCCCTTTTTAATTTTTTTATATAGTTAAGCAATATCACATGAGCAATAAGTGCAATATCACACGAGTGCAAATGTGATACTGATCTTATACAACAGTTCACTAAATAATAAGTTAATATTGTGTTATTTTAGGCACAATGTTGTCTGTTTTGCTCAATTTTGCCAACGGAAATATAAAGACAAAGCAGAACTGTTCGTCTCCGAGCAACACACAGCAGCATTTCATTTCTTAATGCACGTTTTGAACGAATTGGGTGAATCATTAGGCGCATTGGATTTGAAGCGGCACTGCACAGATCGATCGGTGTATGACATCAAAGTACCGCGAGAGCGATTCAAAAGCATAAGGAGCCATCTGCTCTCTAATCACTCTCGCGGTACTTTGATGTCACACACCGATCGAGCTGATGGTGATGATCCGCTTCAAGCCTAATGATTCAATGGACCATTCATAAAGAACCATTTACTTCACTCCTGAATGAATCAGCCATTTGTACGAATCAAATGAATGAATAAATGACTCAATGACTTAATCATTAAGACATTTACCACCACCTACTGGCAGTTTTAGTTTAGAGTATAATTTTATTAAAGAAATATTTCATATTTCCATAATAATAATAATAAAATTAATAAAATCAATTATTAAAGGTATAATTCACCCACCCAAAAATGACAATTGTGTCATCATTTACTCACCCTCATGGTCCAAAAGAGTATATGTAATCAATTTTATCAAACTAAATATTTCTTGCTGAAGCTACTTTTTGTAATGTCTGTTTGATGCTTTACACAACAATGACTTTAAATTATCTTTTGGGAGTTATTTCTCAGCCAAATTTGATGTGCGATTAATTTGCGATTAATTAGATTAATTAATGGCCAAATCATGTAATTAATTAGATAAAAAAATGTAATCGCTTACCCACCCTAATATATACAGTGGGGCAAAAAAGTATTTAGTCAGCCACCAATTGTGCAAGTTCTCCCACTTAAAAAGATGAGAGAGGCCTGTAATTTTCATCATAGGTATACCTCAACTATGTGAAAATCTTAGATTTACAAGTCATTGGGAGTAACTGTAAAAAGGCAGGCTTACACAGTTACTTTTCTGATGTATTTACACTTGATTCAGTATACAATGACTTCTAATTATTTTATTTGTTTTAGAATTAAAGTGTGTGTGTGTGTGTGTGTGTGTGTATATATATATATTAGGGCTGGTAATTTAATGCATTAATTAGATTAATTAATTACAGTGAAAAATAACGCGTTAAAATTATGAACGCATTTAACGCACTTGCCCCACCCTAGACCTATGTGGGTCATCTGACATTTCATATAGCTGATTGATGACAAATATGAGGCAGGGCAACAACTCACTGTGTGATGAGCCTAAAGAATGTAGTTAGAATGTCCCTAAAATTCAAGATATGGGGCAAAAATGCCCCTTTTTAATTTTTTTATATAGTTAAGCAATATCACATGAGCAATAAGTGCAATATCACACGAGTGCAAATGTGATACTGATCTTATACAACAGTTCACTAAATAATAAGTTAATATTGTGTTATTTTAGACACAATGTTGTCTGTTTTGCTCAATTTTGCCAACGGAAATATAAAGACAAAGCAGAACTGTTCGTCTCCGAGCAACACACAGCAGCATTTCATTTCTTAATGCACGTTTTGAACGAATTGGGTGAATCATTAGGCGCATTGGATTTGAAGCGGCACTGCACAGATCGATCGGTGTATGACATCAAAGTACCGCGAGAGCGATTCAAAAGCATAAGGAGCCATCTGCTCTCTAATCACTCTCGCGGTACTTTGATGTCACACACCGATCGAGCTGATGGTGATGATCCGCTTCAAGCCTAATGATTCAATGGACCATTCATAAAGAACCATTTACTTCACTCCTGAATGAATCAGCCATTTGTACGAATCAAATGAATGAATAAATGACTCAATGACTTAATCATTAAGACATTTACCACCACCTACTGGCAGTTTTAGTTTAGAGTATAATTTTATTAAAGAAATATTTCATATTTCCATAATAATAATAATAAAATTAATAAAATCAATTATTAAAGGTATAATTCACCCACCCAAAAATGACAATTGTGTCATCATTTACTCACCCTCATGGTCCAAAAGAGTATATGTAATCAATTTTATCAAACTAAATATTTCTTGCTGAAGCTACTTTTTGTAATGTCTGTTTGATGCTTTACACAACAATGACTTTAAATTATCTTTTGGGAGTTATTTCTCAGCCAAATTTGATGTGCGATTAATTTGCGATTAATTAGATTAATTAATGGCCAAATCATGTAATTAATTAGATAAAAAAATGTAATCGCTTACCCACCCTAATATATACAGTGGGGCAAAAAAGTATTTAGTCAGCCACCAATTGTGCAAGTTCTCCCACTTAAAAAGATGAGAGAGGCCTGTAATTTTCATCATAGGTATACCTCAACTATGAGAGACAAAATGAGAAAAAAAAATCCAGAAAATCACATTGTAGGATTTTTAAAGAATTTATTTGCAAATTATGGTGGAAAATAAGTATTGGGTCAATAACAAAATTTAATCTCAATACTTTGTTATATACCCTTTGGTGGCAATGACAGAGGTCAAACGTTTTCTGTAAGTCTTCACAAGGTTGTCACACACTGTTGCTGGTATTTTGGCCCATTCCTCCATGCAGATCTCATATAGAGCAGTAATGTTTTGGGGATGTCGCTGGGCAACACGGATTTTCAACTCCCTCCAAAGATTTTCTATGGGGTTGAGATCTGGAGACTGGCTAGGCCACTCCAGGACCTTGAAATGCTTCTTACGAAGCCACTCCTTCGTTGCCCGGGCAGTGTGTTTGGGATCATTGTCATGCTGAAAGACCCAGCCACATTTCATCTTCAATGCCCTTGCTGATGGAAGGAGGTTTTCACTCAAAATCTCACGATACATGGCCCCATTCATTCTTTCGTTTACACAGATCAGTCGTCCTGGTCCCTTTGCAGAAAAACAGCCCCAAAGCATGATATTTCCACCCCCATGCTTCACAGTAGGTATGGTGTTCTTTGGATGCAACTCAGCATTCTTTCTCCTCAAGATGAGTTTCTACCAAAAAGTTCTATTTTGGTTTCATCTGACCATATGACATTCTCCCAATCCTCTTCTGGATCATCCAAATGCTCTCTAGCAAACTTCAGACGGGCCTGGACATGTACTGGCTTAAGCAGGGGGACACATCTGGCACTGCAGGATTTGA